GCAGCGCTACAGATCGGTATCACGTGGCTTGGGACTATCGAATTTTCAAAGAAGGGGACCACATTCGAATCAGTTACGGCGAGGCATTTCCTTCCAAGAAATATTTGAATATGGAATAATTGAAGAATTTTACGATAATTTTACCATGCAGAAAGCTTTATTCTGCACTATTCTGAAGTATTCATCACTAATTTTGACGATATACAAGTGTTGCGATCATTTGCCACATCCACGTACGGACTAGTGGTATCGTCTTCAACAACAACAACAATTCAAAATGGCGGTTTTGTTCGATCAGCGGCTGAAATGACCGTAACGAACTCGCTCTGTGCTTAAAAAGAAGGACACTTCTAGGCAAGTGGTTTGTCCACAACATACACTTTATTAATTGTTTTTTTATTCGCTGTGACGTTGAATGTATAGCATGGGGATGTAAAGGAGAAATTGTCGATGTTTTGACCACCGTCCTTCCGGAAGCTTCCTCCCACGACATGCCTACCAGTGTAAAACAGCCTGAAAATTTTCATGACCTCGTCTCCACAACATGTTGACTTCGTTAGCTCAGTGTTTCAAGTTTTAGGCTGTGTACCTTATTGAGTTTGTAAAGCAATTAAAAGACTTTGCATATCAGTGCTAGATCCTAACAGACAGAGGAGTGTTGAAAAGTGTCGGATTAAGGTTGCGTCGGATTAAGGTTCACTGCCGTTATATTGAAAATCTATACCGTTCATTTGTCTAAAAAGATCCCAGAACAAATTACAAATGTACAGGTCTTAAAAAATCTATCTACACATTGTATCTATCTATATATTTATCTATCAATCAATCCCTCTATTTATATCTATCTGTCTCTAATAGACAGATATCAATATATACTAATCAATCTGTCTCTAATAGACAGATATCAATATATACTAATCATAATGTAAACATATCATCATTTTGACTGATCTATTTGTAACAAGAAGAAAAAAAAAGGAAAAAGTGAAATATCAACTACATTCAAAAATGCAAAAACGGAGGTCTGAAGCACCAGTTGCTCTAAACAATTGCTCTAAACACTTTTTCACGATGGTAGGTTCCGTTGTTGATGAACATCAGTAAGATGACTACCACTGTGACCAGAGTCCCCAAAACAGCCAGGCCGGCGGCGATGTGGCAGACATAGCGGCTTCTTGCTGCATCCGGTTGCGTCGTGTCAGTGTCTGGTAGAGAAATGTTTGATAATGCAGAGTCATCAATTACACCGTAAATGCACATAGATAATTATTAAGGACAGCTGACGTTTTATTCTACGTAAAATAGATTTCAAACGGCTATATAATTTTGTGCATTTTATTCCTCCTTGTCTTTTAATAATTCATCCCTATTCAACGGAACCACCGATAAATTTAAAAAGTAGATACAGGAGGCAAGGAAAGGGTTAGAGAAAACAGTCTTCAGAAGCGTACTGTACCTGTAGACGTGTCCGTTCCAAAATTCAATTCTCCGGAGGTATTCTTTAGTTTCACTGACTCAGCTTTTTCGTACACATTTGAGAACGAGTCCTGTCCTTCTTGATACTGTTCGCCAGGGTCGCCATGCCCGCTAGTGTTACCTCGGCGGGCGGGAGGATCTGGGTAGGGCGCCCACGGCCTGTTATTTTGTTCCCTGCCGGACACCGTTTGCGGAGTCCTGACAGGCGCTGCTTGCTCGTACATTTTTACTGCACACACGTCTGACGGTTACACAGGCAAAAACAGAAAATCTATTGATTGATCTAGTCAGAATTTTAATGCTTCTGTTCTTTCCTTTGGACGTTGTTTTTCTGAAAATGACAGACTAATCTGTGTGGGTCATGATGACTGACCGTTGCACAGGAAAAAAAACAGCAAAAACTTTACATATATTCAAGTTTACAATATCATATCCAAGTCTGACGACATATTTATGAATATGTACATATTTCTAAAAGCAAGCGCCTTCATTGTTCTTTCCTTTGTATTTTGTTTTCTGAAAAAAGCAGACTCATTTGTGTGGGTCATGATGACAAAAGTCAACCTTAACCGTACAGACGACGCTGTGGGGCATTTTTACCAGCTGTGTTTGTATTGATGACAAGAAAACAACGTGGAAGTCGCCCGTACATGAGTCAGCTGTGCACGAGGCCGTCTAATTCTTAAATGTAAAATTTTAGTACAATAAAAAATGTGTTTTATTCAATTTTAATTTTATTGATTGGGGATGCAACAGTGCATGGCAAGTGGTAGCCAGGCAGCAGCAAGGCTGGTAGCGGCTACCACTGATACATAGAGCATAACACAAATCATCACAGTATACGTTTATATGCGTTTACGACGCATAGCTTCGTATTCATTTGTGTGTATTGAATTGCAGGCTGATTGTCTGAAGTTATATTTTTTTTCAGGCTTCTCCTCCCGGACTATATAAACTTTCTGTAAATATTTGTATTTGACAGTCTGCACAAGGAAATATTGGAGAGAGGTAAACACATATAAACGTATTCTAAACACATATACACGTATTCTGTAATGATTTGTGTAATGCTGTTGTATTATATATTTAATTTTTCAGCCTAATATGTGACAAACTCTATATCTATACCGGTGCAATAGCTTAATCGGGTAGACTGCTGGCTTTGATACCATTTTGTACATACCAAGCCTTCTTTTATCTAAACACATAATATTAAAAGTGTGTTAGCCCCCTGCTGAAGTGCTTGCAAAATTATGTGGCCCAAGGGCTACATAAATGGAGATACCCCCGCCATTGTGTCAAATACTATTTGTTAATCTGGGGAAAAAAAAGCAGAAGGTGTAAGTCAGAAAGTGGGTCCCACCTTTATATAATATTCCCATAGGGCAAAAACTGTGCACAGCTACCTTGAAACCAGTTCGCCGAGTTTTGAGCGTAATTAGATTAGAGTGTGCACGCTACTGGTGTGTTCAGGGTGAGCTAAGGTTACGGTGTTTGTTTAGTATAGATTTTCAGTTAATGTTACAGTGATTTTTAGTATAGATTTTGAGTTAGGCCAAACTTCTGTTTTGGGTAGGCTAAACTTCTGCCTGGTCAGCTTCAAGAAGACAAAACCTTACAAAGAGTCTTCAGAACAGGTATTGTTTTACTCCTTTTTTTTATCAATGGTGTCAGAAGTGGTCCGGATTCCACGTGAACGTGAAGGTAAAATGCTGGTGCGTTCTGAAAATATGTACTTACGTTCGTAAGGTTGACATGTTAACGCTACCGCCTGAATTTACAATTTATTCTGTGATGCACCGAGAAGGAACAGTGTTCTGGTATGTAGACAGCAGAGTTTATTTGTCAAGGCCACATTGACATAACTTTATATAGCGAACAAAAAAAAATTAGTACGCTCATTGTTATTAATTAGTAAAAAAAAATTAGTACGCTCATTGTTATTAATGACATCCCCATCCCCATTTCTAGGTTTCTTAGTCTGAATGAAATCAAATACTGTAAATTACTTTACGTTCGCTGTAGCAAAATTTCACGGTCTGAAAAAGTGGATATGTTGGTGAAATTATCGACCTTTTCGGGAACGGCAAATGCAGCAAAAAGAAAGACGGCAAATTCCTTCTTGACGGTAATGTTAAGTACAGAAATGACTGCGAAAACCGCGAATATCAAAGGACTGCGAAAAATCGTGATTTACAGTAAATTTTATCTGCCAAACCCAACCTAACCCAACCCAACCCAAGGACAATGTATAGTGACCTTGCCCAACCCTTGCCTAACCTTCCCCCGCCGAACATAGTCGTAATGAGAAGGTACCAGTAAATGAATTTTTCCATTGAATCTTTGATGGATCCATGAAAACTAACTTGTTAACCCTACCTAGACCGGGCTTTTTTTGACATGGGGGGACCGGGGGGGGGCTCTTTTGACCCCCCCCTAAGAACTCGCGAACGGTATGTCGTATGACCACCAAATTTTCAGAGAATGGTGTACTAGTGAAAATTTATCATATCTACAAATTTTATGTCGTTATGACGTAATATGACGTCATTATGACGTCATTAATGTGATTTTATTGGCCAAAACCGTCTAAATAGGTTTTTCCCTGAAAACCTCCCTGGTATACAAAATAACTTTACCAAAAGTGTTTATGACAGAATATTAGTGTGTACTAAGTCTTATGTTGCCCATAGCAACACCGGTGACGTCATAAAATGACGTCATGCATATTTAAGATATCCGCCATCTTGGATCATCAATCTTGAATTTCAAAAATAGTTTTTTTCATGATAAAGCCTAAAATACATTGTAAACATACTAAACACCTTCATTCAAAC